GAAGAGGATTAATTATAATCAGAATCAGAATATCAAGATATTTATAATCAATTTCTGCTCCTCCACCTCACAAAAATTCACACTAAAATATACTGTGACAATAGTGTTATTACAAATTATTGTCTTTTATATCACAAATTGGTGATAGAAGTTGGGTGCAACACAACACACACACAACCACCCCCACACACCTATACTTATGACTTGTTTATATAATCTGCTGCCTTTGTCTTCTTCTATATCAGAACACACCGACAATGAGACAGCTTATGATTTACTTTGTGTCATGGTGGCTGCCTGTCATTCCACCAAGAGTCATCAGACATTTCCAAAGATGTTTTAGTAAGGTATGATAAACTTGGGCCTAACTGAATGTGATTTCAAAGCCATACTGAGATAATCGTTGCAAGTCATCATTTAAATTGCAAAGTAAACACCACACACAATATCAAATATTCTGGTCAATACTTAAATAGTCAACATTGTACTCCCCTAGAACATAAGATAGAATCTATGTCTATAGGAAAATATTATATAATCACCAGTCATTTATTAGATATATTCATAGAGAAAGAAAATGTATTTTCTTTCTCTATGGATATATAAATGTTCGTAGGTATTTATTCACTGTGTTAATTGTGTGTTTGTTTTTATTACATGCTGAAAAACCAAAAGGAAAATAACAGGCACTACAAAAAAATCACTAAACTAAAATGTATGAAAAATAAAGATATTTATAGGCTATACAAAAAAAATCCATGTGATTGAAAAGTACAATTATAAAAATCAAAATTAAGAAAATATAATGCATATTAGGCTAGATATGATTCATTAAAAAAAAATCAAAATTTACAAGCAATAAAAAATTATAACCATTAGATTAAATGTATGTGATTCAATTGACGAACACAAAATTTTGAGGGTGTAAGGCTACAGTATTGTCTACCAGTTTAGTAACCATAACTTTAACTCTATATTGAAATATTTGTATGGGATAAATATTACTTTATATGGATGATGTGAAATAATAGATATGTAAATATTCATTCAATGTATACAAATTTAAAATTGACAAAAACAACACATATGAAGTGAAGCAAATGGACTGTATTTAATAGTTAAATATTTTTACAGTTTTGTCCCAATCATTCGCTACTGCAAGTCTCCTTGGATGATATGAAATTATGCATAATCCCTTTGGATTGTTGACTCCATCTTCTTGTCAATCAATTCTTTTAATAAAATTTCCATCACTACTGAATAGCTGTAGTTTGTGTTGACTTGATATAATGATGTTTTCATCCTCATCAACTACTAGTGCACGTGAAAAGCTCACCTTACCATCTTCATCTCCTGATTCTACCAGGATTTTCGTAAACCTTCCCTCATTATCAAATAATTTTAATCTACTGGTTCCAGTACCTAAATATTCACTCTCTAATACAAGATGGTGTCCATGCTTTGTAAGATTAATATCAATGACATTCCTCATTTGACCTCCTTTTGTGCCTAGTGACCCTATCTCTTTGATGGTTTCATTTTTATTCATGTCAAAACATGTACACACAGCTTTTGATCCTACCTGCTACATACAAAACATTAGATATCTCATCTACATAATACCACGCAATGACCTTAATACTCCCTCACCAATTGTTTTTATCACCTGACCATTCATATTGCATATTCTGACAGGTTTTCGATGAACATAATCACTGAATACTATGTTACCATTCATCATTTTGTACATCCTGTAAACTTTCATGCCTCGTGGTAGAGTAACTTTACCAATATATTCTCCTGATTGCTTGTACTTGAGTATTTCATTTGTTGTACATGAAACAAGCAAGTAATCACCCTCATACTTAACTACATCCCTAATAGAGTGTTTGTTAATTTGGATGGTATTTACTTCTCAACTTTGGTTGTCATTGGTGATTGTTCTGTGGAGAGGAGGAAATATTTATGAGCATTAAAATAATTATGATGCCCAAATACATATTAATATGAAAAATTAATAAACGAATAAGAACAACAAATGGTCACATAATGCAAAACAATTTAAAATTTAAACAGAAAAGTAGAGACAATATGATCAGAATGACAAAATAAATTCAAATAATGCGCTGGAAATATATACGTACGTACGTAAAAATGTATGTACATACGTACATACATACATACATGCATACATACATACTTATTCAACTCATAATTGTTTATGAAAAGATCTCTGTACAAAACTTTCAGCATATTGATGTATCTATGCTGGTCATACCATTCTGAAATAACCGTCAACAGCTGCTTGAAGGCATCGAATGTAGGTAAGAATGACCCCGGAAAAAATTTCCCAGGAAAAAATGGCCCCGGAAAAAATGGCCCTAGTAAAAATGGCCCCAAATGACAAGTAGGTAAAAATGGCCCCAATGAAAAAATTCAGTAATAGAAATAGATGATATTTTTTTTTAAATCTTCAAATATTTAAATACTGTAATAAGCAAGAATTGAATCAATAACAAATACAGTTACACAACAGATGCAAATAATGTACTGAGAGATTATCAGAAAACAATGGCCATTGAACATTTTTTGATAGTTGAAATAAGTTCGAAAAACGTTATTCCACTAAAAAAGTAGAGGAATAACATACATACAGTACTTCAACTACCAAAATATGCGACTCATAGATAACCACAAAATTCACTTATTGTTAAATATCAAATGAAATAACTTGACATGTTATAAACTGTGCAAATAAACAGTAGTTAAAGCATGCGGATCAATTGTGTGTTTCAATGACAAGTTCATGTATGGGAAAAGGGAGGCTTACTTTACTTCAACAAATTTTCTGCTTAGAGTTACTTCAAAGAAGTATTTGTTAATCAAATATTGTTTTTAAAGTAAACTGAATAATTAGGAATACATTTATTTAAGCAACTTATTTAATTACATACTTGGTTTCTACTCCCCGCCAAGTAAATTTAAGCGCCTAAAACTATACTAAATAATGTAAACTGAGATACTATATTATATACATAGTTATGTAAATATGGCAATTATGCTAAGAATTAAAATGGCGTGTAATTGTGAGGGTAAAGTAATGGTAGGATCAAATGGTATTGCTAAATCCCAAAAACCTCCTAAAACACACTCTAGAAAACCAAACAATTCAATTGTGATTGACTCACTTGGTATATCAATAAGAAAATTAAATATTTATAAGAACCTATTTTTTGATTAAAATGTTGATTTTTTTTTTGGTGAAAAAATACTTGCAAATACACCACAATCCTCCAAACACACTGCGAACTCCATCTAAACCCTTTAATTATGATTGTAGAACTCTCTTTTTCTAAAAAAAAAAAATAATAATAATAATTTGATGTTCATATAAACTCATTGTTTGTGGGGTTTACCAATACCCGGATTGAGTTTCTGGAAAATTGTGATTCCGCTTCTTGGCCACAAATAAATTATTTTAGTATTAATAAATGCATGATTTATGTTGATTTATTGATTATGTTGTTTGCTATTTTTTAACATTTAAATGGGAAAAAAAATAAAAAGTGTTATTCATGGCTTTTTCATCTTTGAATATATCATTGAATATGTAATTTCTGCTAAAAGTAAAATGTAAATGGCAATTTATTTGATGTTAGCTTCCTTTTAAAAACTAAATTATTTCAGTTTAAAAAAATGCATATAATGATTTTAAAAAAATCAGTTTTAATACAGAATTTTATTATTGGGGCCATTTTTACCTACCTGTCGTTTGGGGCCATTTTTACCGGGGCCATTTTTTCCTGGGCCATTTCTTCCGGGGCCAATCTTACCGTACACCGAAAGGATCATTGAAAATTATCAAAATAAAGATGCCTTATAAAAATGGGTAGGGCCGACTGAAGAATAAAGTAATCATGAAAAAAAAAAATAACGCAGACATAGTATTAAAATGAAGATGAACTCCAGAACTGCAACATTAGCTAATGGTCTTGAAAGCTTGTCCCAAACTAGTGGTCAGTTAACTAGCATTAATATGTTAAAAAACAACAATGCTGCATTCTAAATATAAGATAGCCCAACCAAAAATAACATCAATTTTATATCCTCTTACAAACAATGACAAAAATTATGAAAATTTAATTTCTCTTTCTCCCTCTCTTTTTCTTCGGATTTTTCTTCTTGGCTTCTCTACTATCAAATTCAAATTCAAATCAACATTTATTTCTTTCACAATATAACAATAAAAAAAATATATAATTATTAACAAATATCTAAGGTATTATATGTATATACAATATTTTAGTAATATAAATTAAATGGAAAGAGGCATGTGCCCTGTAAGTAAAATTAATTGGAAACAAATTCCAATTAAAACTTGTGATGGGCTAGCCAATAATATATTATAGTAAATAATAGTTATATTAATTAAAAACAACAATAAAGACATATAAACATAGAGGAAGCACATTTAATTGATGTAAAAAATAAATCAAACACGACAGACTAAGTATTACATTAATTATAATTTGAAAGAAGGTATTTTTTTAATTTGTATGAGAAAAGTTTACTTGTGGGGGTATGTTATATTGTTAGGAAGATTGTTAAATAATTTGGTACCGCTATAACGGATATTGTGTTGCATTTGAGTGAGTTTGGGTTGAGGTAAATGAAGTTCATGTGAAGCCCTAGTGTTGTGAGAATGTATTTCAGAGTTAGGTTTAAAATTACAAGAACAATTAGAGGGAAGGTTAGAATTAATATAATCATAAACAAAAGTACATTGCTGGAGTTTGTTGATGTCATGAATAGTTAAAAGATTTAGATCAGAAAATAAACAATGTGTATGGGCTAAACGTGGTGCCCCAGAAATAAGGCAGATAGGTTTCTTTTGAAGAAGATAAATTTTGTTAAAGTTTGAAGGGTAGTTATTGGCCCACACAATATTGCAATAGCTAATAAACAGAAGAATAAGAGAACAACAAATATTACGGAGAATATGTAAGGTAAATATAAAGACAGACGATAAAGAATACGTATGTTTTTTGAAATTTTAGTTTCTATTTCCTTTATGTGAATTTTGAAGTTCAATTCCTGATCAATTTCAACTCCAAGAAATTTAGTATTTTTTACAAGAGGGATTATATCGTTACCGATCATTTTATTACGGGTTTCATTAAGTCTTTTTTGGTGGCGAAATGAAATTGCATTTGTTAACATTAATAGAAAGTTTATTTACTATAAAATAATCATTTATATTTGTTAGTTCCTGATTAAAAGTATGAAAAATAGATTCAAAATTAGTATTGGAATAAAAAAGGGTAGTATCATCAGCATAGAGATAAAAGGTTATAATTTTTGAGGCATTGGGTAAATCTTTAATATAAAGTAAAAATAAAAGAGGACCAAGAAGAGAATCTTGAGGCACACCACAGGTAATAGGTTTCAAATCAGAAATATGAGTATTATTAATTGTGCATTGAGATCTATTAGAAAGGTAGGCTTTGAAAAGATCCAAAGAAACACCACGAATACCATAATTAAAAAGTTTAGAAATTAAAATGGAATGATCAATTGTATCAAAGGCTTTTGAAAGGTCAATAAAAAGACCTGCTGAAAAAGATTTATTTTCAATTGCATCCATGATTTTGTTTGTGATGTCAATTAAAGGATAAGAAGTGGAATAATTTTTTCTAAAACCGAATTGTTTGGTATATAGAATGTTATTCTTATTAATAAAATCATAAGTTCGGTCATATATAATTTTCTAAAGGATCTTCTAAAAGATCGGAAGAATGGAAATTGAACGATAATTATTTGTATCAGATTTGATGCCCTTTTTAAAGATAGGTGTAACTTTTGCTAATTTCATGCTGTTTGGAAAAACACCAGTGGAAAGAGGGATAAATTAAATATATGAGTTAAGGGATAAAGAACAAGATCAATATATTTTTTTTACAACTTGTCCACAGATGTCATCAATGCCTGGAGCCTGGAGTTTTGAAAGAGTTTACAATTGAGTACACTTCTTCAGAAACTGGAGAAAGAAAGATTGAGTTTGGAATAGGGGAATGAAGGTAATCGCAGAAGGTTCTAGGAGTGTTATTGATGATTTTCTTAGCAAGTTCAGGACCTATATTAGTGAAGTGATTGTTTAATAAATTAGAGACTTCAAGGGATCTTGTATTAATTCTCATTTATCTAAAATCTCAATATCAGGTAAGGTGCTATTTTATGGTTTAAGTAAAGAATTTATAACACGCCAAGTAGCTTTGATATTAGATTAAGCTTATTAAATGTATATTTATAATAATTAGATTTAGCAATTTTTAGGAGATGGTTTAATTTATTGCGATAACGCTTATATTTAGATACATTGCTATTTGTGGGATGACGGATGCTTTTTAGGTAAAGTTTACGTTTATGTGATATTGAGATTAATAGTCCATCAGACATCCATGGTTTAGGTTTTTTATTTGCTTTGCGGGGTTCGGTTAAAGGAAAATTATTGTTATATAGGGTTACGTACTTATTCATAAAAGTATCATATGCTACATTAGAGTGCGAGGCATTGATGACATCATACCACAAACAGTTTGATAAATCGCTCCAAAATTTTACAATATTATTTGCATTAATTTTACGAAATTTGCGCTTAGTAATATTATGAATATTTGCTTTAGGCCTACTGGATTTGTTTTTAAAACTAATGTTAAAAACCGGAAGATGATCAGTGGCATCATGAATGATAATACCACTGTTCGAGGGACCAAGGTCATTAGTAAAAATATTGTCAATAAGAGTAGCAGAATGCGGAGTTATCCTTGTCTTGTGTTCTATTCTCCTCCTACTTGTCATTGCACACTTTATTTATTGTACAACTAGCATAGTTACAAATCTGTAAACTCGAACCTCTTTGATTTTTTTCCATTTCTTGTTTATCTTCCGCCATTGTTACAATAGTTTCACATTTGTCAATAAGTGTGTTTATTACACTGAGTGTGTTTGAGCAAGTGTTAGAGTTGAAAATCAAGGTATCTATTTGTGTGTGTGTGGTTTCTGGTAGACCATTGTTGTCAAGGACCTATCAATTTGGACAGTGATGATGGTGTCCAAGAATGCTATTTTTTTATTTTGCATGAGTTCCATTGTAAATTTTATATCTCCCGAGGGGTCAGTTTCGTCTAGATGACTGTTTACAGCAATTGCTGAATATACTGGGATAATGGCAAGAATGTTGTCCACATATCTTCGCCAGAAGGTGGGTTTTATCATGTTTTCTGTTGTTTTTATCACTATCACTTGTTTTTTCAACCCTTCCATAAAGAAGTTGGCGATAATCAGATTAACAGGACTCCCCATTGCAATACCTTTTTTTTGCCTGTAGATCAAGTTGTGGAAACTGAAATAAGTGCTGTCCAGTACTTGAGTTAACAGTTCGATTATGTCAGAGGTTTTAAGATGTGTTCTGTCATTAGTGTGTTCTCTTAGGTGTACGGTAAGAATGGCCCCGGAAAAAATGGCCCCGGAAATAAAGGCCCCAGAAAAAATGGCCCCGGTAAAAATGGCCCCATATGACAGGTAGGTAAAAATGGCCCCAATAATCAAATTCTGTATTAAAACTGATTTTCTTGATTCAATATATGCATTTTTTTATCTTAAATAATTTAGTTATTAAAAGGAAT